GCTCTCCTTGGCTCCTCCCCCCCAGGCCAGCCTCAGGAAAGGCTGCAGGGCAGGACTGGACCTCCCGGCACTGCCAACATGGGGCATGAGCCCAGCCCCCCCGGTGCTCGGGGGCCAGCTTGGGCTGGGTCAGGCTCGTACCAGCACTAAGGAGGAAGCCCATGAGGGACCGAGGGGTGATGATGGTGACCCTTGCTCAGGGTGCCGTGGATCAATACCGCCCTTTGCTTACCTGCTCTTTCCCCTCGAACAGCAAGAAAGGAAGGGATGGAAGGCACCAGGGTCACGCTCGGCCTCTCCTCCTGTTTCTCTCCCCTTCCGCACAGTCCGGATTGGCCTCGCTGAGGTCACACTGCCTTCTGATGGTGGATTTTCTCCCCTTAGCCTCACCCACGCTGCTGGCCATGGGTGCCAGCTGCTGCCAGGCACGAGCCCCCTGGCTAAACACAGCCACAGCGCCGCCGCAGACCTGCCAGCCAGGGCCGGGGCCATGGTGTACCACCGCAGCCAACCCCATCTCAGGGTGAACTGGCCTGGACACAGTCAAGTTCAAGCAACTGGCAGCACCTGAAGTCCCTGTCACCAGAAGTCACTTTGCCCCGACTCCCCTTCATCCCAGGAACTGGCTGCGAGCTCCCACCCAAGCCCCCTCCCAGCATCGCCCCAAGCCCGGGCACCACGCCTGCAGCCCCTGCACCCGCAGCCCCAGCCATGCACCCCAAGCCCCAGGCGCAGGGAGACAGTAGAGAAGCCAGCACCATTTTATAGACTTTTACTTCCGAATCTGGCGCTTCCATGATACACTTTTACACAGCTGGGGGAGGCGGGGGGGAGCGTGGGCATCTCCCTGCTCCCCACCCACAGAATCGGGAGATGGAGAGAGGAAAAAACCAAACCGACCAAACCCCGAAAGAAACAAACCCAAACCCAAGGAGGGTGCTCCCCAGAGCCCAGGCCACAGCATTACAACCAGGGACCAGGCTGCAGACTTGCTCCTGCTTCTTGACC